TTTTGAACAGTTTTGCGCTATAACTACTAACTAGGCCAAAAAAGGAGATATCGATCTATAATTAGGTAGGTAGATAGAAGAGGATAGGGACTATCCTTCTTAATCCGCATGTTTTGAAATTCGAAAATGCTTTTGGGATTTTTTCCTATTTTATAAAAAAAAAAACTTTTTTTTTATTTTGGGGGTCAAAATAACACAACTTTGAAAACCCCATAATGCAGATTTGTAGCGCCGTCGTTTCTTTACACGACCACATAAAGAACTTTGTAATTATTTGTTACCTGTAGCTTTTGCGAGCGTTTCAAGATTTCATGTTTGTTGCTCATTTGTGCTCGAACATGACATCAGTTTGAACTCAATAACTCCTGATCTAAGGTGACCTATGACTTGAAATTTAGTGTGAAGGTGTCAAATTCATGTTTAAAAAGGTAATGAAAATTTGGCGGCGCTGCACGCCGCCGTTTTTATTATTTAAGAAAACCGCATGGTGGGGGGACAAAATGGCCCCTCATCAGGGCGCGGTTAATGCATTTTCAGCCGACTGATGTTGCTGACGATTTTCATGACGATTTTCATTCTGTGAAGCTCAATATGTATAATGACTACAAGTGTGATATTGTCGGTAAATAATTCTCGTGACTAGCTCCCACTTATAAGAAGATGCCCACGACAAAGATAGATAACAGAATGTTGCTCAGGAAAATTCCACGTTTACTTTTCAGATGGATTCAGCGAAAAGGGTACCATTACCATTCAAGATTATTCCGCTGGAGGATGAAGTCCAAAAGAAGATTACCAAGGATTTTGCCGGCAATCCAAACGGCCTGGTTTCATGCAACCACTGGGGCTTCAAATTTTCAGCGACCGTGACTGAACAGGAGCTGGAGGATATGTACAACCATCCTCTGGACCCACGTGAGTGTGGGTGGTGACGCCTCCCAAGTGTGGAACTACCTGGACCCAGGAGATGGTCTGGCTGATCGCCAACGATCTCGACTACGAGGGCGCCAAGACGCCATTCAACCCAGACAGGTATGTCATACTGTTTGTAAAAATTGATTGTCCGTACTCAGTTTTTTTTTCGTTTGGTATCTGATAACATCTTGGATAATTTGATGATCAAATAACTTAAAATAATAGATAATTTGCACAAATATGGAACCCGAGGCTGCGGCTAGATATTGACCCGAGCAATCGATTGCGCCCACTATTTTTGCGATCAGACGAATCCTTGAGGCACGTTTTGACTTTTGATCAGTCCTTTAAGGGACAATTAAGGGACGAAGGAAGAGAGCTAGGGCAAAATAAATGTCATATTCGTGCTCCTCGTCTCCTAATTGACCTAATGACAGTTTTTGAAGCGATTCTGAATCCGACGCTGTATTCGTTGTTTTTGCTGACGCTAACTTCATGGACATCTATATTCACATGAGAATGGCAATTTTACAGTTATGTGAGCATTGTATTTTTACAATTTTCAGATGGAGTTTTCTCGACATTACTGGTGTCCTCGACAAAGATCAGATGAAAAAGATAGCGCCACCTGCTTCCGAAGATGGCGCCACTGAAGGTCCACCAAGCATAGCGGGCGATCCAAACCGACCCTCCCCGCGGTTCGTCAAGTCGCACCTGCCGTTCTCCCTCAACAACCCGCGTCTGTTGGACGTCTGCAAGGTGGTCTACGTGGCCAGGAACCCCAAGGACCTGTGCGTCTCTTTCTACCATCACATGAGGCTGATTCGCTTCCACGACTTTTTGGGAGACTTCGAGGTGAGTGAACTACAGAAAGCTGGTAACGACTGCCAATCTGTGTAACGTTCCATCTAGGTAACGTTTCCAATGTCTGAATAACACAAAAGTTCATGATCATAGCATGTGCTTAAAAGATTGACAGGCATCATCCGCTTGAAGTGCAGGTTATGCGTGTCAGGCCAGTTTGATCAAACGACTACTGGTGATTATGTCACGTTTTTGTTCAACCTTGTCATGGATGATACCTTGTCAAGTGACTTGTTGGATCATTTCAGCTCTTCGTGGACTACTTTATGAAAGATCTGACGATGGAGTCTCCCTACATCGAGCACATGATCGAGGCGTGGAACCTGCGTCACCACCCCAACCTCTGCTTCCTCTTCTACGAGGACATGAAGAAGGACATGAAGACGGAGATCCGCAAGGTGGCCAAGTTCCTGGGGAAGGACTTCACCGACGAACAGGTGGACATGCTGGCAGAGCATCTACACTTCGACAACTTCAAGAACAACCCGTGGGTGAACGCCGAGCACTTGAAGCCGCTTGGTCTGATGTACACAGATCGCGGCAACTTCATCAGGAAGGGCAAGACGGGTGACTGGAAGAACTACTTCACTCCTGAAATGAATGAGAAGTTCGACAAATGGGTGGCGGAGAAGCTCAAGGGAACGGATCTGACCTTCGTCCAGGAGCTGGAGGAGCAGGACTAGACAAAGGCACCTCAAGCTGATAACCAATGCGGTATTTGAAAAAGAAAACATGTATTTCTTGTGTAGCTCAATACACATACCTATAGTTTGCAATACTACGGACGTCTTACGCGTGACATGGAAGGAACGGTGTGCCAGCTGCACAAATGTTTTAGGTTTTTACCAGGGACGCGGGTGCCCTCGGAGCTACTGAGCTATGTATTTCTGTCATTGACTTTAAACTACTTATATTATATTTTTTTCTAAGATAGTCCGTTACCCATGATCAGGTAACCAGGAGTGCCCCCTCCCACAGTCCCGGCGACGCACAGAGATGAGAGACTTTACTTTAACACGAAGGACGAGAGGGCACTGCCAACGGGCTTGTGCAGAGCACCCTTCTAACTGGTTGCTAGCGGTGTCCCAAATTTGGACGCAATCTTGCATATCGTTCACTGTGATAGCATTTTAAATGCAGTTATTAAATACAGATAACGGGTTATTTTCCAAATCATGCATCAGTACTTATAGCTCATAGAGCATTTACAAAGCTCATCCGTTACTCTGAGCTAACACATAGTAAATTGAGCTTGCCCACCCCACCGCTCACACATACCTCGCCCAGGCATTATGTGTAGAATGAAAAGATTAAAGATTCATGACTCAGAGTGGAAGATATACCTACATATCTTTCTAGCAGAGGTTTATTTGCCATTGGGTCTACAGTGCAGGGATATTTCCATCTTGCACTGCTCTGAGATGTAAAGATAAGAATTAGCTGTCTTTGCATCCTTCTGAGATGCAAAGATAAAGTCTTGAGGGTTCATAGACAAAAATCTTTAGTTAACCCGCGCCCTGCTGAGGGGGGGGTGTTTGAACACCCCCCCCCCCTGTGGTTTTTCGCGAATATCTCAAAAACGGCGGCGCGGAGCGCCGCCGTTTTTGGTACACCTTATCATACATCAATTCTACACATGTTGTGAAAATTTCAGACCAAGGTCATTCAAGGTCAGGTCACCAGGTCACTCGAAGTGACCTCACCTCATAAAAAGTTTCAATGTCTGTCATAGTTACATCGAGTGACCGATCGCTTTGAAACTTTCAGCGATTGCTAAGAGCATTAGCATGTACAAAATGTATATCTCAGAATTTTGATATCGATGACCTAAGGTCAGGTCAATTTTGCGACCTCACCATTATAAGTCAATGGGAGAAAATTGAAATGCGCCTGTTTTGAACGAAAGACATTATAAACACTCCCAAACACTGAATTACAAGTGTTTTAGACACACTGAACATGAAAATGGTGTCTGCGACCCCTGTTTATGCCCTGAGGTCATCTTAGGTCACGAATGGTATCTAACAGTTTTTCGCAAATAACTTTTGATAGAGGCATGCTAGAGCGATGAAAACGCCTTAGATGTGTTCAGCTCGACGATACGGATCGACTGATATGCAACATGACCCTTTCCGGTCAGGTCATGACCTTGACCTGAGGTCAAATTTTCAAGTTGACCTTTCAAGGTCAAATTATAGTTCGTTCGATGCGTCTTGACGAGAGGAACACGATGCCGGTAAAAGTAAGCTCGTACAATGCTTGGGTCAAAAGTTATTGCAGAAAAACTGTTTCCGAAAAAATCGGCTTTTTTTGCAGTTTTTGCCCCCTGGGCCCTGCAGGCAAAACCGTTGACGTTAGGTCAAATCTAAGCAAATTACTCAGAAAGGGCGTTAATAGGGCTATCGAATGCGCTTTTCCGCGGCGCTGTAGCTCTATTGGTTCCCGAGTTATGCGTTGGCTTCTTGGAAATTTTCGACATTCGACCTGGAAATCGGCGAAAATTTGCCTTCAATGACCTCTGGTGACCTGACCTTTGACCTGACCAAAAAATTGACCGAAGTGATTTCCTCATTATTTTTGACGCTCTTTCGAACGCCGCCTTCCGCGTATCGCTACGTGGCCCAGGAGCCGAGTTAGAAGGGGGGGTGTTCAAACACCCCCCCCCCAGCAGGGCGTGGAAATCCAGGACCCCCAGCCGGGCGCGGGTTAAAGTATGGTACGTCAATAACCGAACCATCTTTTGAAGGTTGTTTGTGTATGAAAGCTATGAATTGTAAACAAACTAACTACTCTGAGTCTGATTTTCCATAGAGGAATACATCTGAGCATAGTATTCTACTAAATTAAGAAAAAACCTCTATATAGAAAGAGCTAGGAAAAGGTGTTCCAGGAGAAGAAAAAACTCGTTCCTTAGTCGCTCGGTTTTTCAGTTACCCTCTTGGAAAATATATCCGTATCGTCAACCCAGGGCCATGAGGAATACTCTAAATCTCACACATATCTCATGCACAATCTCACATACAGCTCACTGATCAGGCAGAAATCACATAGAGTTTGTCCAATACCTACCCTAATACTCCCTAGCCACTCGGCAGCGGCCGTTTTCCCGTCTCCACAGCCGGTTTGGGCTCCACCGCCGTGCGTGTCGTCTGACCTTGAAGCTGAATATCAACAGTGAGCTGCAACGACCGCGCATGTGATCAGTATCAGTGAGTGTTCTGTGGACGGCGCAGCACTGGTCGGCTGGCACTGGAGCTCGACGGTCGAATCGCTGCACTGGGGAGCAGTGCGAGGGGTGCGTAAAACAGTGGTTGTTGGGAGAGAGCTATCACGCTTTTTACGACAAAAGGTACGTCAGCAGCTGATATGTGCTAATAACTACTATGGACGTCAAACCCCTTGAGACCCCACTTTTTGCGATAATTTTTAAATGCGTCAACTCTCGTTGACAATATTCTGGCAATGTGTGTTTTGGAACCTGCCGAAACTTTTATTACTAAGGTATTTTGACGCCAAATGATTATGAAAATTGAAAGGTACTTCTCATTCACTCGTAATGTTAAATTTCACGGAGCGAATCTGCTGTTTGGGTAGAGCAGGGGTCGGCAAATGGTGGGGCATGCCCCCTTTGGGGGTAATGTCGCCCTTCGGCGGGGGGTAATGAGCAGGGCTGCGGAGTCGGAGTCGGAGTCGCAGTCGGAGTCGGTCGGAGTCGACAGTTATGACCGGAGTCGGACTCGGAGTCGGAGTCGATTTTAGAAACCCGAGCTGGAGTCGGAGTCGGAGTCACCGAAAATCTGTCGACTCCGCAGCCCTGCTAGGTCTGCGGAGTCGGAGTCGGGAGTTGGAGTCGGTCGGAGTCGACAGTTCTGCCCGGAGTCGGAATCGGAGTCGGAGCTGGTTTTTGAAAGCCGGAGTCGGAGTCGGAGTCGGAGTCGCCGAAAATCCATCGACTCCGCAGTCCTGGTAATGAGGGCCTCTGAGAAAGCCTCATCTTTTTTTAGAATTAATGGCTCCCTTGATGGGACAGACATCGCAACTGTTGTGCCCCAGGATTCAAAAATTAGTCGAGGGCAAACGCACAAAGTATGAACTGATCAGCTGGCGTATGCCAATTTTCATGTACATAGCTGCTCACCATTCCGTACAGCCGTGGAAAGTAACTGTCATGTATTAGCCGGCGCTCGCCTGTTGGCGTTTTCACAGTCACTAAAGCAAGGGAGAGGAGTTGTCCATTGCACCCTGACCCGTGCATCTCGGCCTCTGAGCTGGAGCTTTGCAGAAAAATTGAGCGTGCTGCCCGTGAAGATAGGCAGCCGCTGCTACCCAATTTAAAGGTCCTTGGTCATTTGGTGACCTTCCAGAGGTCAATGACAAGTCCCGAGTAAATCGGCTCTTGCTGTAACTTCCTGAAGTGAGATTTTGTGGACTGCCATAATCTCAAGAAAGATCTCACAAATCAACGGTTATTCGGGTTAAGGTCATGCCATTTTCAGGACAGATAAAAATGATCGGCTCGAGGGTACAGTTTTTATGATCCGACCATTTTAACGTGATCTATTCCCGAAAAATACACGCTACCCCTATTCGTATCGGGGTTAACCCGCGCCCTGATGGGGCTCCTGGGTATCCACGCCCTGCTGGAGGTGGAAGTTAAACCCCCTCCCCCCTACTAATTTGGCTCCTGGGTCACTAGCGAAACGCCGTAGTCGGCGTTCGAAAGAGGTAAGACATGATTAAGGAAAACTATGGCCACTTTTTAGGTCAAGTCAAAGGTCAGCTCACCAGAGGTCATCGAACGTAAAATTTCGCCAATTTCCAGGTCAACCTTTGACAATTTTCGACAAACTGGCCTATAGCTCAGGAAAGGATAGAGCTACAGAGCTGCGGAAAAACGCATTCGATAGCTCTCTTAACGTTTTTTTTTCTGATGACGCCCTCAGATTTAACCTAAGAATAACGATTTAGCCTGCGGAGAAAAAATGGCTAAAATGTACGTTGTTTGCTGATAAAATGTACATTGTTTGCTGACAGTTTTTCTTCAGTAGCGTTTCACTCAGAACTTGCAAGAGCTCACTTTTATCAGCATCGTGCTCCCCCCTTCGAGAAGCATCGGAGGTCTTGTTGCACATCAGGTGATCCGTGTCGTCGAGCTAAACACATCTAAGGTATTTTCATCGCTCTGGCATGCCTTTATCAAAAGTTATTGGCGAAAAACTATTAGATACCGTTCACGACCTGAAATGACCTCAGGGACATACAGCGGGGTTACGGGTGCAGTTTTCTGGCTCAGTGGTCATGTTTACTTGTGATTCAGTGCTTCACAGTGCTAGGAATGACACTCATCCAAAAGAGGCGTCTTTCAATTTCTACCATTGATTTTGCGACCTCTCCCATTGATAACGAGAGAGGGCGTGAAAGTGAGCTGACCTTTGGTCACCTACATCAAATATCCGAGATACAAATTTTGTACATGTTTTGTTGCCTTTGTCAATTCCTGAAAGTTTGAAAGAGATGTTACTCTGTGTAGCTACAACAGGCGTTACAGTCATAACTGAGGTGAGGTCACTTGACGTGATCTGGTGACCTAACTTTGAGCGACTTTGGTCTGAAATTTTCACAACATGTGCAGACAAAATGCATGACAAAATGTGACAAAATGGTGGCGCTCAACTTTTTTTTTTAGATATTTGCGAGAAACCGCAGGGGGGGGGGGGCTGTGGTTTCTCGCAGATATGGTACCCAAAGAGTCGCGGAAAAGTATGGAATTTTAGTAACCATGGTTATATCACCAATGGGGTCTGGCGGGTGGGGGTAATGGCGCTGCCTGGCGCCATAAAAGGGGGCACGACCCCGGAGGACCTGCCGACCACTGGGGTAGAGGCTACGCGCTCATGGGGCGGAGCCACGCAATGACGTCAGCGCTAAGCTCTGCCCTACCCCTCCGGCGCTCCTTGCCCGGCGACCGGTCACTCGCGTCTCTCGCTCCATTCAGGCTTGATGGTGGGCGGTAGCTGGTAGCGGTAGCGGGCGCTGGTAGATGGCATTTAGAGCAGATGGCGCTGGTGGCGGGGCTCGAGTGTGGCCGAGCGCAAGCCTCTGCCCGGGCCTGAATTGACCTTAGCATTACGAGTGAATGAGAAGTACCTTCCATAATCGTTTGGCGTCAAAATACCTTAGTAATAAAAGTTTCGGCAGGTTCTGAAACATACATTGCCAGAATATTGTCAACGAAAGTTGACGCATTTAAAAATTATCGCAAAAAAGTGGGGTCTCAAGGGGTTTGACGTTCATAGTAGTTGGGTTCCTGAATACAGAAAAGGTACTCGAAAGCGGGAAGGTATATGCTGGTTATCGGAGCTTGACTGAAACAGACTCTTTCCGCATTCAGGAAATCGCATGCGAGAGCATATTCAAATGCATTAAAATTCTGCCCGCATCAATCGCATGCGGGAGATGCGTGCGGTTGATGCGAGCGTGCTTCCATGTATTTGAATGGGCTCTCGCATGCGATTTCCTGACTGCGGAAAGAGTCTGTTTCAGGCTTTAAGGACCCTATGCAATATATGAACGTACAGTAACTAGCCGATGTTTCGCAAAATTCGATTTGTGAAAGGCATATTGGAAGCATTAAAAACCACATTTTTCAGCTAATACCGCATATAAAACGATCTTAATAATTTTCTATTTATCTATTTCGAGTTACACAAAGCTGTGGCTTCGAAAAACAAGCTAAGAGGAAAAATTACAGCTGGATTCTGAGGAAGGGGCACCAAATCACGTTTTTGCATAACGATCATAGGATGCGGAATGCAGAGAAACGAAAACATAGGTCCCGTATAAAAATGTCATAGAAACTGGTCCCGAGAGAGATTTGAGGGTGTTGAAATCTGGCAGCGCAATAAATATATTGCAGGTAAACTACTTCAGATGTAGGAATGCCAAGGCCCCAGAGGTTTGCTACTTTCTATGTACGTACAAATTGGTACGTACCATCGCGAATACTCCGTCGTGAAAACGGCCAATATGTTTCAGATGAGTTCGGCGAAAAGGATCCCACTACCATTCAAGATTATTCCGCTGGAGGATGAAGTTCAACAAAAGATAGCCAAAGATTTTGCTGGCTACCCGAATGGCCTGGTTTCCTGCAACCACTGGGGTTTCAAGTTTTCAGCGACCGTGACTGAACAGGAGGTGGAAGACATGTACAACCATCCTCTGGACCCACGTGACGTGTGGGTGGTGACGCCTCCCAAGTGTGGAACTACCTGGACCCAGGAGATGGTCTGGCTGATCGCTAACGATCTCGACTACGAGGGCGCCAAGACGCCATTCATTCCAGACAGGCACGTCAAACAATATGACAATCCTTATTCCTTACAAATGTTCTTTTTTTTGCTATTCCACTTAATTTACTACAATTGAGCTATCGTTTCATTGTTTATCGTTATATCGTTGTATCTTATATGAGATCAGAAGTGAGAGAAGGTTCATGCCTTTCTGAACTAGAAATAATGTCATCGTTTTCAGCACAAAAGCGACTCACGTCGCGAGATTTGACATGCCATTTTGTTGGTGAACTTAAACATTTTTATTGAAGTTTTTTGTGACTCATTTCAGGTGGAGTTTCGTTGATTTCCCCGGCCTCTCTGATAAGGAGTATATGAAACGCTTCACTTCAAATCCTTCTGAAAAAGATGGCGCCACTGGAGGTCCTCCTAACTTGGCGGGAGATCCGAACCGCCCGCCGCCGCGGTTCGTCAAGTCGCACTTGCCGTTTTCTCTAAGCAACCCTCGTTTGCTGGATGTCTGCAAGGTGGTCTACGTGGCCAGGAACCCCAAGGATGCTTGCGTCTCCTACTATCATCATATGAGACTGATACGCGTGCATGACTTTCTAGGAGATATTGAGGTGAGCGAAATTTCGGCAAAGCTATCGTCATGCTACCATAAGTGTAACAAGCTAAATGCGCAAAGCGTTTAAGAATAAATGTTGTTGCTCAGCCAGAAGAATAATTTTCTTTCTTGGTATTATGTCAGAAAGAAATGCTTAAACTGTTCCTCATAGGCGGCGGAACGGGGGGGCACCGGGGCACCGTGCCCCCCCCTTGAATTCTGCAAGGGGGGCACCAATAGCAAGGTGCCCCCCTTAAATTTGATGTATTAGTACTAGGGGCAGATTCGGGGAAAACTCCAAGGGGAGGGCCATGAATCGAAGTGGTGCCCCTACCTATGCCCAAAATTAAAACCTCAACGGATTTCGGCCACTTAATTTTGGTGGTGCCCTATTTTCAGTTTTTTTTTATTTTCTTTATTTTTGGTTAGTCATGTGATGACTGGTGCCCCTGCACCTGCTAGGCCGCTGATGCCCCTGGAAAGACTGTGGTACCTACCTACCCTGCCCCCTGACAAGCCTACGGTGGGCCCTGACATGACTTAGGTGCCCATGGGCCCTGACAGGCCTGTGGTGTCCTTGCTAAGCCTGTGGTGTCCCTGGGCCTTGGCAGGTTTGTGGTGCCCCTGTTAGAACGCAGGTGCCCTTGACAGGTTTGTGGTGCCTCTGACAATCCTAAATTGCCAACGACAGGCTTGTGGTGCCCTTGACAGGCCCATGGTGCCCTTGCGAGGCCGGTGGTTCCCCTGCGAATCCGATAGTGCCCCTGGCAGGCCTCTGGTGCCCCTGGCAGGCCTCTGGTGCCCCTGGCAGGTCTGTGGTGCCCCTGGAAGACCTGTAGTGCTTTTGCTAGGCCGATGGTGCTCCTGACAGGCCTGTGGTGCCACTGACAGGCCCGTGGTGCCCCTGCTAGGCCTATGGTACCCCTGGCGGGCCTGTGGTGCCCCTGTCGGCTGTCAGGCCTGTGGTGCTCCTGGCAGGCATGTGGTGACCCCAGGCCCTAAGTCATGACCCATGTGACCTCCACCCTGGGATTCGCCACTGATTAGTACCAGGCGATGGCTTCTTGGTAATTTGTTACATGTAGGATTAATGGAATTTATCAAACGAGAATAAGGAAGAGACAAACACATAGGTACTTGGGGATCAGCTTAAAGTTAACCACACATACGAGCAGGGGTGTAATTTTCCTAAAATGATTGTGGGTGCCCAGCTGTAGGGGCGCCCGGCGCCAGGCCGTTTTGGGGCGCGATAGATATTCTTTATGTGGGAGCCTAAATTAACACCGAATTTGATAACATTGCTAGCCGAATGGCGCTTCAAGTGACGTGTCTGCCTAAGCAAATACACGCTTAAAAGTGGAAACTGACCGGAAGGACGTAAAAAGCTGTAGAGGGCGCCATCCAGTAGGAGGGGCACCAAATGTGGAGGCACCAGACGGTTACGACTTACGAGGGCGCCGTGAGACGATGAAAAGGGCGCCATTCTCTTGGGAGGGCGCCGAGTGATTGAAAACGCTATGTGGTCCAGGGGCGCTAAGAGGACAGAAGGGCGCCGCACAGTCAGTAGTGCTACGTTGGTGGGGACGTGGGGACGCCAGATGGTTACGAGGGCGCATTGAGATCATGAAAAGGGCGCCATTCTCGTAAAAGGGTGCCGAGTGATTGAAAACGCTATATGTGGTTCAGGGGCGCTGAGAGGCCAGAAGGGCGCCGAACAGTCGAGGGATGCACGGTGAACAGAGACCTAAGGACGCGAGACGGTCAGGAGAGCGCCGTTAGACCATGAGAATGACGCGGTGCTGTCAAAAGTGCGCCATTCTCCCAGAAGGGCGCCGAGTGATTAAAAACGCTTTACTATCCATGAACGCGAGACGGTCAGGAGGATACCGTTAGAGCATGCGAAGGGCACCGTACTCTCGAAAGGACGCTTGCAGCCTTGTAAAAGACTTGTGGGTGCATTTTCATCATTGTGTGGGCATACATAATTCAGGATTGTGGGTGCATATGCCCCCACAAAGAGATATAAAATTACACCCCTGCATACGGGGGTGAACTGCCATTTTCGTTTAGTAAAAAATAAAATTAAAAAAAAAATCATCGTGTCAGGGCTGTGACGAAAAATAAGTGGCCTAAATCCGATGAGAAAACAGGATTTGGGGGTACCCTAGGTTTGGCTCCTTGAGCCATGGTGCCCCCCCTTGTCTCAAATCGTTCCGCCGCCTATGCTGTTCCTCCGAAAAGGTGGTCAGATGGTCAGATGGCTAGGCCTTCCAATTATAGTCATCATCGGCTTTTGGATGATTGTGACAGTTGAGTTCCGTTTAGCTGAAACTTTTTCTCGTCACTGCAAGAGCTACCCTTTTTGCTAGTTGTAGAAACCAAACCATTACAATAATCCTTCTATATACATACTTGCCTTTGTTGAATTGCTTGAAGCAGATTGCCCGTCTTTCAACCCACCTGATTATGGTTTCAGCTCTTCACGGAGTACTTTATGAAAGATGAGTTGGGTGAAGCGCCCTTCATCGAACACATGATCGAGGCGTGGAACCTGCGTCACCACCCCAACCTCTGCTTCCTCTTCTACGAGGACATGAAGAAGGACCTGAGGGCGCAGATCCGTAAGGTGGCCAAGTTCTTCGGAAAGGACTTCTCTGAAGAACAGGTGGACAAGCTGGCAGAACACCTCCACATCGACAACTTCAAGAAGAACCCGTTCGTAAACTTTGAGAGCCTGAATAAGCTTGGTCTTACGTACCCAGATCGCGGCAGCTTCGTCAGGAAAGGCAAGACGGGTGACTGGAAGAACCACTTCACCCCTGAGATGAATGAAAAGTTCGACAAGTGGATGGAGGAGAAGCTGAAAGGAACCGATCTCACTTTTGTCCAGGAGCTGGAGAAGCAGGACTAGAGGTCATTATGACGACCCTTCTGCTGCTGATGATGATGCTGATGTTGATGCTGCTGCTACTGATGATGTTGATGATGGAAGTCATCATTACCCTGACGCTGATGATGAGGAAGAGCCTGGTGGTTATCAATGCAATCTACAAATACGTTACTGCATGATTTTTCTAATTTAAGCGGGGTTAAAATGATAAAAAAACGTAGACATACGAATTAACAGCTGCTTGACCTGATGAGATGTTTGATGGTACTCAAGTATAAACTTAGTTATGTAGTGTTCATTCTACTGACAGCTGAATGTGACCAGATGATCGTTTTCCTGAGCAATCCTTTATTTTATGTAATCATTGCTCTCATCCGGCATTCACTCTTGGTTTTAGAGAAGGTCTTCACTTTTAAACTCAGCTTTTTTATATGTCAGCTATCAAGTTGCCTGTGAGCCTGCTTCCGCCTCCCTTGTTGCTTATCGTATGCAATAAGCATTATGCAAAATGCATTTTATGCGTCATAAACCTTTGTATATTTCGGTATAGAGACGCCTATGCATGCGTAGACGTGTGTGTTTCTCCGTCTATTGCGGGTTTCAAGTCGTGCTGGTTAACGAGCTACAAAGTGATTGGTATTAGGTACTGTAGTCTCTAAATTGCACGGGACGGTTGTGATCTTTACGCGCCCTTCTTGTCCCGATGAGCTGTTTTCGTCCTTCACTTCGTCGTCTAAAAAACGTTTTGTTAAATACAATGAAGTCTATCTTGAACTTGCAAAAGATTTTTTGTGTTTCAGCTTTTGATTGTGAGTGTGTTCTCTCTCTCTCTCTCTCTCTCTCTCTCTCTCTCTCTCTCTCTCTCTCTCTCTCTCTCTCTCTCTCTCTCTCTCTCTCTCTCTCTCTCTCTCTCTCTCTCTCTCTCTCTCTCTCTCTCTCTCTCTCTCTCTCTCTCTCTCTCTCTCTCTCTCTCTCTCTCTCTCTCTCTCTCTCTCCCTCTCCCTCTCCCTCTCCTTCCTCTCTCCCCCATAAAGCCTGGCACCATGTATGGTTTACGATGTAGGTGCATCCATCAGCAGAGATATACCACTTATACTATGTAGCTAGTAGCTACGTATATAGTGATATATGCAACAGCATAGCAAATACAGATGAATAAAAAGTGTGTCAGAGATGGTCTATTTAGCTGTGTTGAGGAGCGGGATGTCCTGCAGGATACTTTGCTTTTCTTATTCAATATTCCGAATCGATTATATAACCTCTGCAAGTGTAGGTGTCTGGGATGCGCATATCAGCGAATTCTGTCGAGTGTGTGGGTTGTGTGTCGCCTAGGTCGCATACGGGAATGCTGGGTCCGTCTTGCTATGGTGTGCTGTATGACAAGCTGCATGTCATCATATCAACTCCGCTCATTCGTATGTGTGTAGTGACTGGTTATCATTGTGTGTAGGATCAAAAATATGGACGACCTGACCTTGACCTGACCTTCACCAAAACGTGACCTAAGCTGGCCCCAAAGGCTGCCTGACCCACATAATCGCATTTGTCATGTAAAATGGACCATAAAACATGTATCACACGACACTTTCATGTTGTGACCCCCAGGTGACCCCCAGTGACCTGACCTCTGTGACCTGACCTGGTATCAGTGACCTTAGATAGCGAAGTATGTGTTTGACGAACAATGTACCATCGATGGTTTTCAATTTCTTACCAATTTACTCGATTTCACAACACATTTCTTGAAATGCCTGTGAACGGTGAAAATCCGACATTTGATCTGACCTGTGACGTCATCGGTTTGACCTAGGTCAATGAAATTTGGTCACAAGGTAGTTCCCGGGTGGGGCTATCGAACGCCGTTTGAGTTTTGAAAATCGGCTGGTAAATTTCCGAGATCTTAGGGGGGGGGCCGAAACGCCCCCCCCCCCCCCCTACGGGTGGTAGGGTCCGCCGGTAGCCCTACGGGGCGCGGGTTAAGAAAGAAGCCTTTGAAGAAAGCTTGACACACGTAAGACTTTGATTACGATTGCAAGCGCTGCATATTATATTTGAGGGTGTATCAATCATTTTTGAGTTTTATCTTTCATCAGATATCATTGTTCATGCATAAACATTTGCTTCTACGGAATCCATAACCACACGCAATTGCAAAAGTAGCGACAATATCACATCTCAAGTGCACACTGAAAAGTACATGAGTTGTGCACGATTAATACGCTGTTTTTTTTCGACTCAAGAAACGGTGGCGGTACTTGCGACGAGTTATCGCAACGCCCGATCGTCATGGAAAGCACAGCATCTTTGCCCTGCCTGCATTTCTTTAGCGGCGAGACATGTCCTCCTTCAACATTGTAGCTACCAACCATATTCATCAGAGAAATTGCGATAATCATCTTCACTAACAAGCTGTTCAAATTGTACATAAAGCTCATCTGTCCGCTCCTTCCCTAGACTCACAGTTTTGTAGCTTTGAGTGTCTAGTCTTGCTTCTCCAGCTCCTGGACGAAGGTAAGATCGGTTCCTTTCATCTTCTCCGCCATCCACTTGTCGAACTTCTCATTCATCTCAGGGGTGAAGTGGTTCTTCCAGTCACCCGTCTTGCCTTTCCTGATGAAGCTTCCTCGGTCTGTGTGCATGATTTTGCCGTCCTTCATGTGATCAGCATTCACCCACGGGTTCTTCTTGAAGTTGTCGATGTGGAGGTGCTCCGCCAGCTTGTCCACCTGTTCTTCAGAGTAGTCCTTCCCCAAAAACTTGGATACCTTACGGATCTGCGCCCTCAGGTCCTTCTTCATGTCCTCGTAGAAGAGGAAGCAGAGGTTGGGGTGGTGACGCAGGTTCCACGCCTCGATCATGTGTTCGATGAAGGGAGCCTCCACCACCTGGCCTTTGATGAAGTAGTCCATGAAGAGCTGAAAGCACCAGATGAAAACAACTTCACTGAAAAGCAGTTAGCCTATGGAGAGATCAAAACTGAGCAGGTTCCGATTGATTGATTCGGTTGATCCGATTGATAATTGATTGATTGATTCAAAACGTAAAGTGAGGTAGCACAGCCTCTTTTCCACCACGGTAATGAGTGCCACAGATTCCCTTTTCGAAAGTTTTTTTTTTTTTTTATAAGATGAGCATAAAGGCTGTTGAAATAAAAACATCGGTCTTGAATCCCAAGATTTTTGCAAAACAAACGTTTAACATTGTGACACAAGAACATTGTTTGCGTCATGCGCCGCAGATGTTATACGAACGATGAATATCGCGAAGCTTTTCAAGAACCTCTTACCTCCAGATCCCCGAGGAAGTCGTGCAGACGAATCAGCCTCATGTGATGGAAGAATGAGACGCAGGCATCTTTAGGATTCCTGGCCACGTAGACCACCTTGCAGGTGTCCAGCAGGCGCGGGTTGTTGAGAGAAAACGGCAGGTGCGACTTGACGAACCGCGGTGAGGGTCGGTTGGCAAGGCTAGCCATATCCATCGGCCCGCTCCGAGGGGGCTCGCCTTCTTTTGCAGCAGCAGCAGCAAACTTTGCCTCAAACTCTTTGTCGCTCAGCGCAGCGAAATCTATGAATGAATATCTGAAAATACAAAAGGGCGGTAGTGGTTCTATTAGCAGGCAATGGGAAATGCGTTCCATTTAGGCAATTCAGAGTGACAAAGGACACGTCATTCAACCATGTATCCGTAGCTGGGCGCGAAAACGTATCTAGCCATATGAATAAACTAGCACTTGAGTATCATAAATGCTGGTATGAAGGCATGCAATGTCCATGTCGAGCTCGTACACATAATCGAAACTATGTAGAGTAGAAAGTCTTTGGCCCCACCTGTCTGGCATGATGGGTGTCTTGGCGCCCTCGTAGTCGAGATCGTTGGCGATCAGCCAGACCATCTCCTGGGTCCACGTAGTTCCACACTTGGGAGGCGTCACCACCCACACGTCACGTGGGTCCAGAGGATGGTTGTAAAGGTCTTCTAGCTCCTGTTCAGTTACTGTCGCTGACAGCTTGAAGCCCCAGTGGTTGCAAGATGCGAGACCTGTAGGATTGCCGACAAAATCTTTGGCAATCTTTTTCTGATCTTCATCTTCTAGAGGGATGATCTTGAATGGAAACGGAATCCGCTCTGAGGAGCTCATCTGAAAGAAAAAAGCAATTGGTTAGGCTTTTTTATAAACGCCATGGACTGCTTTCAAAATATCAAACACTTCATGGTCGGAATACAAACGTAATATTATAGATAGTTCGTGAACAAGAACTCAGCACTGCAGGCTGTTTGGGTAACTTTAGGCACTTCGAATGTTTTCAATGGTTCAATGAACGCAACCAGAGTACACGCCAAGCAGAACTTGTACTTGTAGCGCGAGCTCTGAATTTCAGCGTGCGATGGCTGATTTAGAATGTCTCTCATCATTGTTGTGGTCATAATCATATTGGAGGAATGCTTTTGCTTTTATTTTCTATGTTCTCTCACTTAGTCTCAAAATAACTCCATTGTATGACAGGAAAACAGAAGAGCTGCAGACAATAACCAATTAGAATAATCTGCAAGTGCACTGATAGCGACGATTAGATAAAATGCTACCAACACCAATTTATGGAACAGCATTACTTGTAACCAAAACCGAACCGTTGACACCCTACCTTGATTCCTCGTCCACCGACCAACACTGTTCTGCACGCCACCGATCTCCTTCTGCCCTGCTCTCCGCTCCCCGCCTTCTCCGACACTGCTGCGCCGTCTGGTCCGACACTTCACTACGGGTATTCGTTTTTGCGCTGAGTCATGTGTCCAAGGCCAAACGAGCCTCCCGCTGTTGTTGTAGAGGCGTAGCCAGAGGCGGAAATGGAGATTCTCTAAAGCGAGGGGAGGGAGGATGGACCGTCAGATGACGATTCGGTTTGTTCAGCAGGAAGGAAGTGTGCGTCCTTGCTTGATGTGTTATGTGTAACGAAAGAGCGGATTACGTGAGTGAGTTCTCGTCCGATTTGCTTGAACCGCCTCTGTTTGAGTGGGATGATTAGACGTTTAAAAACTCGAGAGGTAAACAAGCGTTCCTTCCGAATGGTAGGGTGGCATTGCGGTTCACTGAAGGGTACATACAGACGTTTGCGATAATGTAAGCCTTCCTCGGTGTATCGAAAAAAAGCTGATCGGTCTCCCGTCGAAGTCCATGGTTACTCGAAGGTAATTAGATACAGCAGGTGGGCGTTGGATGTGATGATAATACATATTTATTTCGACACAACACTATACTACATTTGCAATGATCACTTGAGTGCGCCTTTAATTTGTAATTTAACCTTCCAGGCGGTGGGGGGGGGCATTTTTTGCCCTCCCCCCTTTAGTTTTTTTCGATATATCTCGAGACCCGCTGCACCGATCGTCACCAAACTTTCAGTACCCTCCCGGGAGTAGCTAGCGCACATGATGACAAAAATTTTCCAAAGGCTATGATAGGTTGGCCGCTAATGACGTCAGAGTGACGTCATTTTTTTCCATTTTCGACCCAAAAAAAGGTTTCGCGGGAAGAGCTGTCAGGCCTACAGCTTTAGAGATACAGAAAAATGTTCCAGACATAAAAGGTGTGGAATCAAGAGGGGTACAAAACTGCTATTTCGGTTTTTCCGATTTTCTGGATTTTGACCCCCAAAAATCAAAAGATTTTTTGAATATAATCGCCAAAAAATCCGAAAAGTTTTTTGAATTTCGAAAAAAACAGGAATATATGTGATAGTCCCTACCGCCTTCTATCTACATACCAAATTTGAGATCAATACTTCTTTTTTTTTTGGCCAAGTTATAGCGAAAAAACTTCAAAATTGATGACGTCAAATTTTCAAACTCAATTTTTAGCAATTCTAGACCCCGTAGCGCAAAACAAAGACCACCATTAGACTCCTCGTGACGAGTTGCATCGAATCGATACCCTTTTTATGCAAAAATATCAACCTTGGAATTTGACCTTTTTTGACTTGACCTTGAACTGACCTCCACCAGAAAGTGACCTAAACCGTACCTGATGGTCTTATAACCAATACCATTGAGTTGGAAATGAAAAACTGGCCATAAAACATGCATCGCACAACCTTAGTAAAGTTGGGTTCATGTGGTGACCCTTGGTGACCTTTGGTGACCTGACCTGTGACCTGACCTGGTATGACCAGTGACCTGGTATGACATGACACTGGTATGACATGGTATGACAAACATTGTCCTTCAGAAAGCCCAGAGGGCCGCATCCATTCTGGAAACATGGTCAGAGAACAATCTCATGAAGATCAACGGAAAAAAGTGTCATATACTCATCTGCAACTTCTCTCACAACACGGATATGGACGGCGCAGTAATCATTAACAACGAACCAGTACCTGTCGTCTCTACCATGAAACTTCTCGGAGTCCATATTACTTCTGACTTAAAGTGGACGGCAAATACAAATCATATCACAAAAAACGCCTCTCGCAGGCTGTTCATGCTCACAGTCCTCCGTCAGTTCCATGCAGATCTGAGCGATATCCGCGCCGTCTACATCAGCTTCATTCGTCCATGTCTGGAATACTGCTCTCAACTGTGGCACACGGGACTGACACAGCAACAAGCACAAGCAATCGAGCAAGTTCAGAAAAGAGCTTGCAAAATCATGATAGGATACGAAAACTACACCGACTACGCCTCTGCCTGCCAGCTCCTCAACCTCGAGACTCTGAGCGAGCGTCGCGATGCTGTCCTCTGCAAGCTGGCGGCCGACATCCTCGCCAACCCCGCCCACCCACTGTACCCGGGCGAGCAGCTGGCAAATGTGAGGCGCCCTCTGCGCCGGCAGCGAAAGTTTGTCGTACCGCGGGCCAAAACTGAGCGGTATAAAAAGTCCACTGTGCCTGTACTCATAGATCTAATGAACAGGATGTGATCCCCACGTAGATATGTTCGGAGCTCTTTTGAAATGCACTGTGTTTTTAATTTTTGTGATGATTTTCACTTCTTCATGTGGTGCCACCATTGCACAGCTCATGTACGGCCTTTTTACCAGTCGTTGACTGTCACGTGGTCAAATAAACCTTTATGTATGTATGTATATGTATGTACCTCTAATAGCAACATATGTACTAGACAACTGACGCCTTATCGCTGATTTTCGACAAAGTGCGTTTTACTCGGTGTTATAGCGCTTTTCCTAGAAGCCCCGTGAACAGTGAAACATTTTATCTTTGACCTGACCTGTGACGTCATCGGTGACCCCGAGGTCAATGAAATTTGGTTTCCTTCAACAAATTTGACAGGGCTATCGAACGCCGTTTGAATTTCCGTATCCGTCCATTATCTTCGGAGATACGAGGGGGGGACAAACAAATGCCCCCCTCCCCCCCCCCCCACCGCGCGGAAGGTGGCTGGGAGGCCCACCGCCTGCCGGGTTAATACAGAAAGGATATTTTGAAATGAAGCTAAAATGATGCATAGGGAAGAAACTGCTAGCTTACATCGGGTACGTTATACTATACTGTACCATGGTGAGTGTCCGATCATGCTTATCGACACAATTGGGTGTTTTGAACTCTCAATTACTCACTTCCTGGCTTACGTGGGGCGTCTGGTGTGCGATTGTTTACGTGCGTTAAAAACGATTCCAAATCCTCTCCGATTTATGGTTATCTCAGTGCTCATTTTTAGAACATTCATGTTTAAGTACTTAATTACAGGTCAACGAGCGTCATTTCCATCGGCTTTGCCATTAAGAGTGCTTATAATTCAAGGCCAAGGTTTGAGCTCTCTGACGGGCCATCCACCCATTATTTTATCGATTATGATGCGTACTAGTGGTGTCAATCGGTTACCGAAAAAATCGGTTACCGAAAAGATATGCTGACCGATTCGGTAATCGGTCGGTCAGGCCCCCCAAAAATCGGACACTTTCGGTCACCCTGTCAGTGAAACCATTTTCAAAAAGAGAAAGTATTCCATTTTTGCCTAGTTAAAATGAAAGTTATTGGGATGTTAATGATAAAGTTGCAAAATTTCCCCCAAATACTACAAGGGATGCCATGTTTTGGCAACTTCAGTAGCCATCCCACTCAGCAGGCAGCAGCCACCAATTGTCCAACCACAACCACAAGCAGGCTGATTTTGACTCAGTTGGCCCCACAAATACACACCATTGTGAAACTCAATTCCAGTCTTTAACTGTAAGTAACTTCTACCACAAAATGTATTTTGCAGTGGCTAAGAATTGACTGAACTTGGACTGAAATGCCATTTCCCATTAGTTTCCATCAGAATTTACCAAATAATTCAATTTTGGGGTAGAGTAATAGCAAATAGAATTTCGGTCAAATTTCGGTCAAATTTTGGCTTGGGATGTTATCGGTCGGTATTCGGTCGGAAATTTTTCCCAAATTTCGGTTTCGGTCGGTATCGGTCAGACATTTTTTGGAAAATGACACCACTAATGCGTACCTACCTATTAGCCGTTTTCACGACGGGCTATCCGGCGAATGCACCTGATCTGACCAAATCTGCACCTAATCTGTACCAGATGTGCACCAAATGTGTACCAGACGGCCGTCGTGAAAACGGCTATTGCAGAGCCGTTTGAAATTGCAGGCATAATCGGACTGCTATTGCAGTCCGATTATGCCTCGTTCCATCACAGAAGCCTCCAAATGCGGTCAAGAGAGGAACCTGAGCTTACACAGCTATTCACTAGGTGGCAGCACGATACGGGGACGACTGCCGTCTCCAGCCTCCGCTCACCTATCCGTGCTTCTATCCTCAGGATACTGAAATCCTTCTCCTCCACGCCACAACCCCCCTCCGGGCTGGACAGGCAACTTTATCTCATGCGGGCTGCTCCCTTGGAGCGGCACCGCTGCTCCCGAGGGAGCTGGGGCGTTCCACGACAGATCGACCAAGCCATAACACCCTACCTCTCAGATTTTGATGAAATTGCGTCTATGGGGTTATCCGTACCGTAGATTCATAGTCTCGTATTTTTAGCGTTATACTACGAAGGGTTTACGAGTTAAAGCCAGAGGCATTTTTCAAAATGCCCAGAGTAACCCTCTTTTAAACTCGTATTATCAAAAAATATAGCCAGTAACCTACATTAATATGCATATCATTGGAATCCTCATTGACAGTAGAAAATTATCTAACCAAAATATTTTGAAAATTTTCAAAATTGCAAGATTTTTTGAAATAATGAATTTTTGATTTTCGATTTTCAAAAGGTGGCCATTTAATTTTTGACAAAAATATTATGCCAAAAGATGCCTCTGGATATGGAAATTTAATGTCCAAAAAATTAGAGACATGTTTTGCCTTTAACTTTTTATATAACTTTTTGTTTACGACAATGTTTGTAGTAAAAGGGAACATTTGACGATGCCTTCCAGAGCCAATCATTCTCCTACCCACATATCCTCGAACTGTTTCATGAAAATTAGAAATAAAAGCCTGGCACTCACACTAACAGACCAGGCATGCGATTATTGAATGATGTTTGCTTCACTTTCGCTGTAGTTTCGAACATTGTTCAGGCAGGAAAAAAAATTGAGCTGAACACTGCTATCGGCCGCCTCGCATGTAATTCTGATATGCTTCTAAGCAGCTTGCACTGATGAAACGTTACACTGGGCACTGGCGGATCCAGGGGGTAGGGCCATGCTCCCCCCAAAGCCCGTTTACCCCCCCCCCCCCCCGCAAAAACCCGAGTTTTAACATTGCGCGGGGCATGGAAAGGAAGGGGCCATTTCGGCCATTTGCCCCCCCCCCCCCCGA